GGACTGAGGAGATTCTCTTGATTGACGCAACGGCCCCCAGCGTGCAGGTGCACATGAAATTATCCTCTAGGCCGACTAAGAGGTAGACTCCTCTTATGAGAGGAGAGTAATCAATGATTAACTCTCATCTCTATAAGTCGATATACGACCAAAAAATCTATTGAAAATATTAGTGAGCGGGCGGACAAGGAGCAGGGAGTATCGATTATACAACGTATGCCAACGAGACATAAAATCTGAACAGAGTAGTGACGGACCAGAAGAACGAAAAATTACCAGCATGTAAGAGTCGATGACATCGAGAAATAAAAATAAAGAAAATCCTCCGTTTCAGACGAACAGGAACGTGTGGGCAGGCAACGAACAAGCGTTACATAACTTCATGCATGCAAAACCGTCGTCGTTCTAAACAGATGATAACTACTGCTTATGAATTACAGTAATCTGTGGTGAAGTGGTGCTAAATGAGTGCTAAAAGAATTAAGCGTGCTGGACGAAAGACTGCATGAACAGGTGGATGTCGCTGAAAACAAGTTTGGCTTTATTCAGACAGATCAAATGACCATGTACGTTTGCATTTAAATCGGTCGTCGTCACGTACAGAGGAACACACTACCGAAACGTCATTTATATGTTATTCCTATACGTGGTATGTCAAGCATGTAGTGAAGCACGAGACAGAAACCGGTGAAAGAAAAGTACTTTCGGTTCATGTGAGACACGTTCGGTGATGGAGCGCCAACGACAGTTCGAAGAACATGCGGCAAACAGAATTTCTCTGTGCGCGTGTGGACAAGGAGGGATCCATCTTGGGTGAACATCCAACCGACTTCTGTTCTAGTCGATGGACACAGATGCATCAACTAAATAACTCTCCAAAAACAAGTCAGATATCACATGATCGACGCAAACGAAAAACTTCTCTACAGAAGCACGCAAAAAGAAATGCACAACGGTAGGTTTCCAGAACAAGAAATCTGAATGACAGACACGGTTCATTTCCTGCCCCTTGAAATTTTCAAGTACTTTGGCTGCGCATGCAACGTAAAGGGGAATCGACAACGAAACAGGAAGACGATCAGCTTGAGTGAAACTTGACACACACACGAACGCGAAAACAAAATTGAAGCTAAAGGAAATTCTACACATCAGAAGAACCAACTGCTGTACAGAACTGAGTCTTAGGCTGTAATGAACAAACAAGAGCAGCAGCTGAACTTCGCCGAATTATGGAAGTATAATCGAAAATCAACGTAGAGGACAGCTTTGATACAAGGCAAAAACTCGATCAGTATGCCGCAATTCTGTTAAAACTGAGGCAATGCCACAAAGAGAAGAAAAAGAGTAAGTATGAGAAAACTAGCGATTAAGTGAACAACGTCACGAAGTTGTGCGGGAAGCAGAACTAGAGGAAGGAGTAAAAAAGAAAGGTAGCGAACAAAGTAGAAAAAGAAGCAGAAGTAAAAGACAGAGAAGCTGATGAACCAGAGAACACGAAACTAAAAGAATGATAAGAGAAACAGAACAACAGGCAGCAGGGCGAGAAGCACAGAAAGTTAAAGAAAAGGAGGAAAAAGGAAATGAAAAATAGTAGAAGCAGAAAAACGCGAAATGGAAGAACCAAGGAAACCAAAAACAGAGTACAAGAAAAGAGAACGAGAAGAAGAGAAATAAGGAACATGAGGCAGAAGACAAAGAAAAAAGACAAAACAAGAAAGCCGAGGAGGAAGAAAACAAAAGGAAATAAAGTTAAAAAGAAACAGAACAAGTGCGAAACGAGAAACAAAGGCTCATTAATTGAAAAGGCTCCTTAATTGATAATCAACATACAGTAAAATTTCCAAGATAAATGTAGAAGATCGATGATAATTAGGTCGAGACGTTGAAATAACTGTAAATTAAAGCTTTTCTTGTTTTCCATACTGCAAAGCATGAAATCGGAATACCTATCAGAACTTGCCAATTCTTC